TCACAGTAACCAAGATATGCAGTCAACCTAAGTGTTCATCAGCAGATGAATGGATAAAGAAATTGTGATACATATACACAATTTAATATTGTATAGCCACAAAAAAGAATGAAATTCTGCCATTTGCAACTAGAGAACATTATGTTAAGTGAAATAAGCCAAGCACAAAAAGGACAAATCTTGCATGCTGTCACTCGTATGTGGGAGCCAAATATTAAAAACAATTGATCTGATGGAGGCAGAGAGTAGAATGATGGTTACTAGAGGCAGGGAAGGGTAGCGAGAATGGGGGGATAAAGTGGGGGTGATTAATGGGCACAAAAATATAGTTAGATAATTAGGTGGAATGGACAATATTTGAAAGCACAACAAAGTGACTATAAACAACAATGTTAGGGTATACTTTAAAATAACTAAAAGAGTGGAATTGGAATGTTCCCAACACAAAGAAATGTAAATGCTTGAGGCAATGAATACTCTAATTATCCTGATTTGATTAATTCACATTTATGCCTGTATCAAAACATCACACGTACCCTATAAAGATATACAACTATTATGTACCCATAATAATTAAAAATTTTAAAAAATATATTAAGAAAATTTTAAATTATATAAAAGGAAAACAAAACTTTTTGTCCTTTAGGGATCATTTAAAGGGGCTTTGTCTGTTAACAATTGCCAATTCCCCGTAACGGCTGTGAGTCCACGTGCAGCAGCTTCCCAGGTGAAATCATTCTGTACATTATCACGAGGCCGTGTTATGAAATAGGTACCATTTGCTCTTCCCTAATCAACTTTTGCTTCAGGTAAAAAATCAGATTCATTTACTGCAATTTTTCCTATAAGACAAACAAACAGAAAAGAATCCTTACCTAGTTAGAACCGTTAAACCCTAGGAGGGAGAATAAAGGTGCCTTTTTTCTCTTAACCCATAGCTTTGTCAACATCAGCTTCCATGAAGACTAAACTCTTTCAACCTAATCTCGTCTGTTTCATGTTTCTTGACTCTTCGGACCACTCCCATTCTTAGCTCTGCTCATTCTATCAGTGTGTGTCAGTATTTTTCAGTATTTTGTGGCCTTTATTTTTCCAACTCTAATTTCTGTCTCTAGTGAACCTCTTCCTCCCGCCTCCCCCTAGAATTTCCCTTCTTCATCCTTTTGAGTGATCAAGCCTTGCTCATCGTAGCATCCTCTAGGTTTAGCACAGGGCTTAGCAGATAATTAACAAAAGGTTATGAGACCCTTTTTCAGTTAATAGAAAGTGGATGTTGGTCCAAGATCTTCAAAGACTCAAAGTAGAAAACAATTTTACTGCTATCATTTATCTGTTATAACATAGGCAAGATAGGTATAATCCCCTATGTATTTTTTTACTTATTTATACTCAGTATTTGTATGGTGATTTTTACCTCTTTAAAGCACTTTTACATCCTTCGTTTCATCGGATTTGAATCCCACACACCTATGAAGAAAGCAAGGGAGTTATTTTCCCATTTTATAGTTGTGCAAATTGAAGCAGACAGAGATTAAATGGCTTTGTCTCTGTCCATGAGTGACAGAGCTGTGACTAAAATGCTCACTGTAGTTCTGTATGAACTGTATAAATATCCTTTCTGAACTATATATGCCAGCACAATTCACAATTGCAAAGGTGTGGAAACAATCCAATTGCCCATCAATACATGAGTGGATTAATAAAATGCGGTGTATGTATACCATGGAGTTCTACTTAACTACAAAAAACAATGGTGATCTAGCACCTCTTCTATTATCCTGGATAGAGCTGGAGGCCATTCTACTAAATGAAGTATCACAAGAATGAAAAAACAAGCACCACATGTACTCACCATCAAATTGGTATTAACTGATCAACATTTAAGTGCACATATAGTAATAACATTCATCGGGTGTTGGGCAGGTGTAGGGGGAGGAGGAGATGGGTATATACACCTAATGGGTGCAGTGCACACCGTCTCGGGGATGGACACGCTTGAAGCTCTGCCTCGGGTGGGGCAAAGGCAATTATATAATCTAAATATTTATACCCCCATAATATGCTGAAATAAAATTAAAAAAATATGTATGTATGTATATATGTACACACATTATACACAATTTTGCATAAACATATATGCTTATTCAAACATAGTTACCTTATAGAAACGTAGCAGTTTAGAGGAATAATGTATTTGCCTTAAGTGTTTTATATAGACCCTTACAGTCAAATATACACTATCCAGACTTGAAAAGGCTGTGGGTCTAAGGGTTGTTTGCTAGCTACTAATGAGAGAAATCTTTCTTGCACTGAAGTTACTTTGGTAGATACTTTTTACAAAGATCAGTCTAACATGGCACTATATTCCATGTCTCGTTGAGTGGCGCAGAGGAAGATGAAAGGACATAATTAATTATAAGATCAGCTTTAAGATTTCTATGCTTAAAGAGCTGTTCAACCCCCTTGAGAATTACTTCAAGCCTGAGGCTGGGATGGGTTCCTTAACCTAATTGCCACTACTTCTTGCCATAATGAAGCTCTGCTTCTTTAGCAAAGTGAGGAGCATTTCTGGTGCTCTAGATGAGTAAGTAGGCCACATCTAGATTCCTCATTTTAATAGGAGGGGGGAGAAGTGAAGGCGACCAAGAGGTATACCTATTTAGAACAACAGCTAATGTAATGATTTATCCAACAGAATTACCCTCACAATAATTTGTTCCCAAAGAGACTTACCAGGGAGTAAGATTTAAAAGCTCATTGCAATTAGTATATAAACCAGTGTGGTCTCAGGCCTCTAACTTGCAATGGCTTATGTAAAAATGTACCAGCAACACTGGGCCAAATGCAGAAAACAGATGCCTTCTGATTGTATTTAACACATCGACTGCCACACTAGAAAAAAAATTTTTTTCACTGGGTCCACGGTGTTCTATTAAAACAAAATGATCCTTTCTAATTTGTTATTTTTTATTGTTTTCTGTGCGTGAGTTATATGCAACACAATCCATGTTTTTAGAATTAATTTGTCAATATTAATTGTAACAATAAGAACATCAACAAGATTTTCACTGACCAACTGCTTCACGAGGCCCCAGGCTCAAAACTAGCCTGAGTTAAATACAACTCACATGGTAGTCAATGTGTTAAAATTCCAAAGCAGAGTCAGCCACAGGCCAAACTATTACTTAGGTAAATTAGGTTGTCTCTGACAACCTACAACTTCTTTTATTAGTCTCCTTCTCCGCTTTCATGGCATCACTTTTTCTAATCCTCTCTACTGGCCCAGAGCCTCTGCATAGACCTGCCTGCGTCGGCAGTACCCTGTGCTGTGAACCACACACCTGCTCACAGCCATCAGAACCTCCACTCCTTGGGACTGTCAGGTCAAAACACGACTCCAGAGTATCTGATACTCATACTTATACTTACTAAGGAACTAAGATTTGAGGATGGTTCAGTGTGGTCTTCTTTCTTCTTCTCTCCCTCTTTCCCTTTCTCTCTCCTTCCATCTGTCCATTAGTTTTGATACGGAACAAGTATTTAATGATGGTGAATCTATCAGGATAGTTTAGGTTATACTTCAGTAACTACAACCAACAAGTCTTAGTGGCTCAAGCTAACAAAGGTTTATTTTTCATTTCAAGTCAGGTTGTCAGGGTTCTCTGATCCCTGTAGTTACTCAGGGACGCAGAGAGCCAGGCTGGGAGCAGCCTCCATTTCAAACATTGCCATGCCAAAGGGAAGAAAACAGTAAATGCTTTGCCCAAGACATAGCACGTCCTGAGGGACCCTGGAAAGACAGGAGCAATGTTGACTGTCCTCATACTCATTCATCTTTTATCCCTAATAACTAACAGTACTGGGCATAACAAAGATAGTAAATGTTTATTACAATGAAATAATTTTTAGGGACTCTGGTGTCTTTGGGGTTTTCTCGGACTGTCTTAGAAATAAATAACAGAACCCATGAAATAAAGCTCGAAGGCCTGCAGACTCAGGGTAGCGTCCCTGAGATACTAAAAGTAAGAAGAGTCCAAAGCCCTTTGAATCAATCTGAGAAGAACAGAATTCCAGGATAGATCATTCCTAGCCTGGTCAATTTCATGATGTCATATTCCTCCTGATTCAAGGAAATAGCTCCCATACCATTATTCCTTTTCTACTGCTTGGCATAGGGTATTATGCAATGAATATCTGTCTGTTGGCTGACTCATGTGTGGGCAACCATGACTTACAATCAATATTTGGAATCTTCTTCAAGTATTATAGACATGAAGACTATAAGGTTTTTGACAAAGCAGTCAGTTTTCTGTATGGTGGTATAGTGCACTTTTATTAAACTTGCATTTCAGTCATATACATTCAACCATATATACACAGGAAAAAAGAGAGAGAAAAAAATGGTGAGATATACAGTTTGGGAAGCTCTTCTTGCTTTTCTATTCACTGAGCTTATGCCTCTGAGGAGGGTGAGATGAAAACCTCAGCCTACTGTGGTCTCAGCTGAGTGTGACTGTCACTGACAGCAACTCATCCCATCGCATGTCCCTCTGACACTGAAACATATGGCAAGTGCTCTTCCATACAACTTGACCCCTAAGTGTATGCCAGCTGAGTCATCTGGCATTCACTCGAAGAGCCAATGATCTAGTCCAATGCTGGGGCTCCCTGTAAGGTGTAATTCCAACTTTGTGTTTTTTTTGCACAAAAGCAACTTTAGGACCTAACGTCCCTTGAGGAAGGAGATTCCACAGCACTCTTCTTTAGAACACTAGACTCCAACCGTGGAGACTGCCTGACCTTCTGTACTCTTTGTATTTTATTTTGTTCAAGATATTTTGCTCTGTCTGCTGTTTCCACGTGTGGGTCTAGTGTTCTGTCGAAGACTACATATGCGTTTTATATACTTACTGGAAGCCTTGCTATACCCATGTGTAATATTCATGGTTTCTTTGCGTGTCACAAGCAGGTTAACGTTGGTCCTCCATTCTTGTCTCCAGAGTGCCTACCGCATGTTTACAAACAACACGTGTTTGAAGCACATGATCACCAAAGTCCGGCGGGACACCCACCACTTTGAACGCTACCAGCATAACCGGGACCTTGTGGGATTCCTCAACATGTTCGCGAACAAACAGCTCGAGCTGCCGAGGGGCTGGGAAATGAAACACGATCATCAGGGCAAGGTAACACGGGGGAGCTGCCGGAGGGAGCTGTTGAATGACTGTGGGCCGCCTGTGGCTTTGGCACATGTCCTTACCCTTCAAGTGATGGTGAAGGCTCTTTGTGAGGTGAAACATTCCGTCTCCTGGTTCAGGTGAAACCTGGACAGGCAGGCTGTTTATGACTTCTGCGCTATTCTGAAGTAGCGTGTGGAGTAGAGGGGTGTGAAGTTTGTGAAACACTCGCTTTTCCCTGGATTTTCTCCTTCCTGTCATCTCTCGCCATTTTCTGCTGATTAGAGAAAAGATTCCTTAAGCAATAGCACGTCCTTCTCCCTAGTTACACAGCTTATTTTGTAGATACTTAAATAAAAAGGTATAGTGTTATTTGGAGAGAGTGGCTAGGAGGTTACCAAACAAGCAGCTGCACAAGGTGTGTCTTTGTGACACTATCCAGGTTTGAGCCTCAGTCTTACTGGTTCAAAACCCTGATTTTGTGAGCACACGAAACAGGACTCACTGATTGAATAATTGATGATGAGAAATACATAACTGCGTCACACAGGCCAGAATAACCACATCTGCACTTCCTCCATAGACGTGAACCAGAAAGCCTGGTTATAATCAGGAAGTTGTTAAATGAGTAAGAGTTCAGAATGAGAAAGTTAGTACTTGTTATAAGGTGTTCCTCAGCTAGGATTTTATTTTTATTTATTTAACTCTTATGTAGAGTTAAATAGGAGGTGAGCTGTGAACTGTTTAAGCTCTTTATGCATAGAAGGTCCTTACCACAACTTGATACAGCAGTACTATTATTATTGCCATTTACAGACAAGGAGACCCAGGTCCAGAATGGTTCAGGGACTTGCCCAACATCACAGAGACAGACAGTGGCTGAGCCATGCTGTAAGCCAGGCATTCTGGTTCCAGCGGACATGCTCTTAGCCATGACATTATACCCTCCAAGTATTGAGCAACTAATCTCAGTTTCTCTGTCTATAAAAAGTCTCAGAATATGTGACTTGAAGGGTTAGGAAGATTAAAATGATATGACATTTAAAGTATTTAATAATCCTTGGGTCATTTGTTCAACAGATATTCATTGAGCACCTATACAAAACAGATGTGCCAACTGTGTCATAGACCTGCCATTGTCATGGAAAGAGACAGGCAATAGACAAATAAATAAATACTGCACATAGTATGTCAAGAGCTATAATAAAGCAGGGAATGGGGTCTAGAAAAAGACAGGAATGAAGAATGTCATATTACATAGGGTGATTGGGGAAGGCCACAGATAACGCCATAGGTGAGCAGATACCGAAACAAAGTGAGGAGTATTCGGGGAAGAGCATTCGAGGCCGATGGAACATGTGAAGTACTCAGTAAATGCCATTTTCCCCCCAAAGTTCCCTCTAGTAATAATACCACAGTAGCCTCTTACTCATCCTGAACTTAGCTTCTGGCAATATTATCTGAGAACCTATAAGCAGTTGAAATAGTTGTTACAAAGTGTGTGTATTTTTTAGTGCATGGGAGGAGCCCTCAAACTCTCATTGAAACTGTTAACTTGATTTCTGCAAATATTTTTAATAAACTTCTAGTTCCCAGCTAAGAGAAGATTAGAAGTGGCAACCATGAAGTTTAAAAGAGATGAAAGAGAATGGATTTGTGATTGTGTCCCTGGAGCACAGGTAAAATGGTATTTACTCAGAGTCAGGTGGGCATGACAGAGAAGCCTTTCCAGGACACCTAGAAGCTGGAAGTAGGGACACCAGGGAAGGATGTGGCATTTTTGGTGCCGAGTTTGATTTAACAGCCTGAGAGCACGATGTCTGTAAACATTCCACTAAATGGAAGGGCATAGACGGTCCAAGTAAGGACTGTGGAAAATACTGGTGGTATTACACCTGGGTATAAAAAGCAGCAGCACACCAAGAATTCATCTCTGTTCTCAACTCAGACAAAATTTTAAAGGAGCTGTGCTTGTTAGAGAACCATGGGTCCTGGGAAAATCCATGTTGAGATAATGCTATATATATTTCTGCTCTGTGTAGAGATTTAACTTAAGTTAGGGGGTAGTCCCTGCCAATTGTAACTGCCAAACACACTTCAGGAGAGAGGTTTTTATTAATAACTTCTGACTTTGAGAAAGTTTAAATTACATTTATGATACTATCTAAGAAGAGTTGTAATTTATTCTTAAGAACAATTTCAGTCTCATAGTTTTCATAAAAGTTCTGATGGTTAAACAGGGGAAACAGTATCTCAACTATGTCCATAGCATAACTATCCAAAACGTCTTATTCCCTGGTGATTTTTGACTGATTTTTGACTGATTTGGGGGTTACAACATAAAGTTGGTATTGTATAGGACCCTGATTATAGGCTGGTAGATAGCTGACCTCAGTCTGCTGCTGGCTTTGCCTTAGAATGCTGTTCCACATGAAAGACTTGAAGCATCCCTGTCTTGTGGAGGAGATGGATTATCAGACAAACCCCAAAGCTTATCACTTTAGCCCGATTGCCCTCTGTTGTGCATTAAGACTTTAATAAGATTTTGAGCTAAGCTGGACACCTTAACTAAAGCAGGTTTATCTCCTTCTGATTTCCTTATGTATGTTCCTTTCCAGGTGACTGGCTCCCAGTAAGTTAGAATAACTTAAAGGAACATTTGGGGAGGCTGGTGCTAGGTCTGTACTTGGCTGCGCTGCTTTGGGCAGCAGGTTAGGAATCCTAATTCCTGTCTTATAAATAGGCAGCTAGTAGGTTTTCTTCCAGCCCTGGAATTTTAACTCCATTTTATTTCATATTTTATTTATTTATTTAAAGAGACTGGGTCTCACTACCTTGCCTAGGCTGGAATGCTGTGGCTGTTCACAGGCGCGATCCCACTACTGACCAACACAGGAGTTTTGACTTATGTCATTTTTACCTGGGATGGTTCATCTCTCCTTAGACAACCTGGTGGTCCCCCGTTCCTAGGAGGTTACCATACTGATGCTGAACTTAGTGTAGACACCCCATCAGCATAGCGCACTATAGCCCAGAACTCCTGGGTTCAAGTGATCCTCCTGCCTCAGCCTCTCCACTAGTTGGGACTACAAGTGTATACCATTGTGCCCAGCTAGACCACTTTTTAAAATGAGTGCTTTGCTTCCAGAACATTGAAAGGGAGAAAACTTTTTTCTAATATAACATCAAAAACTATTAAATATTACGAAGTTATTTTCCCACAGTGATGACTGATTTGTAGAATTGACGTGGAACATGATGTCCATATCCTCATCTACATGGAAGGGAATAATTCTTAAGAGGAATATTCTCAAACTGAGCTCTTCAGGTCTGTGAAATTTGGCTCCATCTTCTCAAGTACAACAATTTCCTTTTGTGTTTTCGCTTATCTAGTCATCAGCACACTTCTGAATATCTACTATGTGTGTTCCATTGTGCCAACAATGATAATGCCACTTGTGTAGCATTATGTAGTATGTAGCACTGACTATGTGCCAGACACTGTTGTAGAACCTAGTTAGTTCATTTCATGCTCACAGCAGCCTTGAGATAGGTGCTACTTTTATCCATATTTTATAGAAGAGGAAACTGAGGCACAGCATGATTAAGTGAATTGATTAATGTTCCACAATTATTAAGTGATAGAATTGGATTTGAACCCAGGCAGTCCATCTCCAATGTCTGTGCTCTCATCCTGCCTCTCTCCTGTGGTGAGGGTGAATGGGTATCTTCCAGCAATTATAATGACGATAGTAAGGGCTTTGCAGGATGCTGTGGGAGTCTTGTGGCAATTTATGAGGTGGATGTTATTGTTAACCACATTTTACTGAAATTTAGAGGTAGAAGAAGGGATCTATATAGAACAGTAACTAAAGAGTTTCATCAATTTGGGATTTCATGAAAATGATACAAATTTGTTAATGGATGAATCCTTACTCTCATGGGAAATGCATGCTGACTTATAAAGGATATACTATAGGGTTAAAGTCAGTGTCCTATTCCCTCTCCTAAGGAACTGCTGGTCTCCCTTAACCATAGTGGTTCAACAGAATGGCTTTTTCACAGTAGGATTTAGTTTTGTTATTCTTATTCATTGTTGGCTGTGTTGTTCTTGACCAGTGCAGGGTAGTCTGATATGGGATGTTTGTTTCTGCCTTACACCTGTGTAACAACCCAGAATGTTCTCCGTTTCTCCACAGTGAGTGCTCTGTTACTGTGGTATCTCTGGTAGACTTATTCTCTTACTGAATCAGTGGACTGCTAACCGGATGGTTGCATTCTTCATCAGCCATAGTCGTGAAAGTAGGGTTTTCAAAACATCCTTGGAAGCCAAGTAACTTAGAACTAGAACTGAAATCAGACCTACATATTTGCACAAAATCATGCACTTCCTGTGTAAGGCCACTAACTCCCCTCCTGTAGAAATTGCTATTTTACTCTGAATGCCTCTTCTTTGGATTATTAAAGAATGTGTGTCTTAGCATTGATGTATGCTATTCAGGGGTACAGTGCAGAATGACTTATTTCTGGCATGGGACAGCTGGAAAGTTTTCATAGTAAAGGTAGTATTTGAGCCGAGCCTTGAGTGATGGGTAGGATGTTGATTAAAAGGAACAGTGAACATAGGATACAGAGGGAAAACGCTCACAGTAGAAGCACTGAGATGGGAAAACACCAGGTGGATATGCCTGGTTTCTGCAAAGAAATAATGGGTGAATTTCAAGAGACCCATTTCAATGGAATGAAATTAGTGGAACTACATTGCAGAAAGTTAAGCATAACAGAGAGAGTTCCACTTTAAAATGACATGGATAATGAGAAAAACACTATGAAGTTTATTATTTCTCAAGTATACATAATGGGCTTATTTGATTTAATTTTTAGAAAAAGTGTTAAAAGTAAAAAAAAAAAAATTTGCTTCCCTTTCAAATGTAAATGTGAATTTTTTTCCCCTCTGCTTCTTTGCTTTATAGTCTCAAACAATATTAACACAGGGTGTTTTTTCCAGA